AGGAAGAGCCTGATTACGATGTAGACTCAGAAGACGAAAAATGGTTGTGTGAACGGCCTCACATAGAAGCACGAACTTTAGAGCGTATATTCGACACTCTAGAAGCTCAATCTTCTGATAATAACATTTGTCTACCTGCAACAGCTCGATCAGTTCTAACAGGTTCGTGGTTTCATGAAAATGTTTTTATTTATTGCCTACCTTTATAGCCTTCGATGAAGGTGTTGTTGATGATGTCTATGATTACTGGCTTGCTAAGAGAGAGAAGTCTGCTGCTACGAGATCGTTCCAACTCGGAGTTGGAGGATTAATTCCTCGAGTTAGGACCGAATGTCGAAAGGTAGTATAAGAATTAAAAGTTTTACCGAACAAGTATTGTGTTTCAGGATTCTCAAGGTGCCATCAATCCGTATGTTGCCTTCAGAAGACGAGCAGAAAAGATGCAAACAAGAAAGAACCGAAAGAATGATGAAGACTCTTATGAGAAGGTGAATATCAACATCACCTCGAGTTTCTCTATATGGTTATTATTTGAAGGTCTTAAAACTAAGTCACGATCTACGTAAAACGGTAACCTTGTTCGACATGGTTAAACGTCGTGAAAAAACAAAGCTGGCTTTAATTGATTTGGACTCCGATATTTTGGCTCACAGAATGGGTCTAGCAGATTTCGGATCTGTTATCTTCAATCAGTTCATGGCTAAATTAAGATCAGATAAGCCATTAACTACTATCAATGGGATTAGCAAAATGGAAGGAGTATGTAACATGATAAATAGCGTGAAGCAATGTCCACATTATAGGAAGAAGTCCCTAAGAAAAGAAGCAAAAAGTTCTCACGCAAGATCAGACCTAGCTTGGCAAGCATGGACCGAGAAGTTCCAAACAAGGTAAGTGTCAGTGGAGTAGCTTTGTTCACTGATTGTTTTAGGCCTGGCTTAAAAAGAATGCCGAAGTTTGGAACCGCCCTCCAACAGTATTTTGTCCCAATGGTGTATCACCGGTTGTTGAAGTTGAAAGGTGTGCCCAAGCTGCAAGTGATGCTAACCTGGATGGCCGGTACACTTTCAAGCGAAGGCGAGGTTGCTGTTATCGAGCACCTCTTATCCCTAAAACCGACGCTCCCTCCTTACCGAAGGTATGCAAAATAGTAATAATCGTATCTTACAATGTGTTTTCAGATTTCGTCTAGAAGACATTTCGTCAATGTCGCTCTGCCTTCTGCGAATGGCGTTATGAGATCTCCAGTTTTGGCTAGGAAACGCGTCGGCAGAGGTGGTCGTATTATATACGATCGCCTTATTGCACTTGAACCACGTGTTCCTAAAGTGTATGATCCTTTCGAGGAAGAATACACAGAAGATTTATCTCTGTAAGTTTTGAAACATTCATCTCTCAATCACTTTCGTTTTCTAGGAACTTCCAAAGTAAAATCCACCCATGGTCCAATGAATCTCGCCCTCTTGTTGAGCGATGGCCCCGTGAGGAGGACGACTACTTGATGGAAGAAAAATGGATCTCAGGAAACGAGCAATCTTCCACTGTTCCCTCTTGCGAAAAAATCGAAACAACCCCTAAGGACAATTCGGGAAACGGATTGTCGGGCAGAGTGGATCATCCCCCCACGGTACCGACCAAGGTAAGCGGAGGCTGGAGAAACTCTTTTCTAATTTCTCGTTTTAAGGCATGTGGCGAGACAACGGATGACTGGAGAGAGGGTAGTGGGTCACCATCAGAGTCTAATTCCTCTGCCGAATGGACCACACCACCTTCCCTAGGGGCTAGGCTCACGGATTTCGCTTTTACTTCCGGAGAGGAAGATGCGCGCACAGGAGAACACCCCGTAGCATTACAGCCTCCAGTGAAAGAGTTCGTTTTATCTACCTCCCATTGATTTTTTTTCTTTCTTACGGGTTGAAACGGGTCTGAAAGAAACATAGGATATATAAATGAAAGATAGTATCAAAAAGTAACCTTCAGGTCGATGATGGGTGTCGGTGCTACAATGATGGAGTGTACTCCTTATATTCTAGCTCCTCCTTCTGTGGGTAGCTAAGCTTTCACTCTGCCCGTGCAGTATCAAATTTTCTCAGTCTTGTAAATGATCTTCGCTTTCCTCATTCAGTGTGCGTACGAGGTCTCTAATTTGTATGTTATGTCTGTTTTTTCGATGATCGTTGTGTCAGCAATCTTCTTAAGTTAGCCTCTTTATTGTTTCTTTTGTATTATTGCTCTACTCCCTCACTGGTACAATTATATCGTTGTTGGAATCTAGACTGTTCTATTTCATTTCGTTTTCCCTAATCACTGTGATAAAGTTTTAAAATGAAATAATTTAATCTCTTATATACATTCAGGGGTAAGGGGCGGCCCGTTCTGTTAGGGGAGGGGGTATCACGAAAATCACAGTCAAGCTAAGCTAGCGGGGGTCAACGGGCAAATGAGGCGCTGTCATCCCAGACTCCGACTCGTTCTCCAAAAAGCGTATAAACTGATCGGCAAGTGATGCTCCTGCATCCCCCATCTTGCCCGTCTTATTTCCAGGTTTAACCGCGCTTTTTATCTTAAAGGGCTGACTTGTTTTGCGCCGAAAGTTTAAAGTAGCGTACCTTCATAACATCATCTTCCGTATATTCTAGAATACTAGCGAGTAGTAGTGCAATATCTGGCTTAGTTTCCGCTGGTGCAGTGAAGAAATTGAGGAACAGCTGACGGAGTGTAGCATCGTCAACTCGATAATTCTCGTTCGAAGATTTCGCCGACCTAAGCTCTTCAACTTGGCTCTCGAGATCTTCTATAAGTGAATCCATTTGAGGAAATTCGTACAACTTTAACAAACCAATGATATGTTGTTTACTCGTAACAGTCTCCTTCACGGAATCACACGTCTCTTCAATAGCTTGCTTATCTAATTGGAGTTTCTCAACATTGTCCAACGCATTGGAGAGCTTGTCATTCAGCACCTAAAAGAACGTGATGTTGTTAAAGATCAATTGGAAATTGTTTACATCGACACGTGACTGCAATTCAAGATTTTTATGCATGGTTGATGCGGATTCCTTCTCGTGATCAATCGATAATTCCCGCACTACGCTCTGATCAATACAAGTTTAATAAGTTAGAGATGATATCGGTAAAACCTGTAAACTGCTCAGGGCATCCTGGGTTTCTTTACGTAGATGCTCTTCCTGCTTACATTTCGTTCTCCAGTCTTCAAGTTTCTGTTCAGCATTCTCGAGTTTGTTTCGCAATTCTTGAACAGTTGACTGAAGAAAAGAATTTCACAATACATCGGATGAAACGGAACATACTTCGTAATTCTGGGTAGCTTCTGATGCATTCACATTAGCTGCACTATGAGCACTTTGAAGGGATCGAATTTTATCACGGAACTCAGTCTCGCGTTTTTCACTTTCTACGGCTTCCCGCGTAGAAGTCTCCTCTACAAACACCAAATGCTCTTTCAATCTCTGTAATTCAGCCGTCAATTTCGCAGTGTGCTCTTTTTCTCTGAACAATAATATGAACATCCATCCGACATGAATAATACAAACTTGGCTAATAATTGATGAGCTTCTTCTTCCTTTAGGGTAGCAACTCTCAATTGTGAATCTGATTTTTCGGCTCGTTCAACTGCTTGAACCAACTGGTTGTAATACTCCACGCTCTCTTTATGTTTCTCTGTCAACGACTAAAAAAAAAGAATGAGCTCTACAATTTCATCCCGAAACAACATTTTTCAGCTCCTCACTGTAACTCTGAAGTTGCTCCATACCCGCTTCTAACTCAGCTATTCTGGCAGATGCTACATTTTCAGAGCCATCTTCTTCCTGAAGCAAAGGTTATTCAGTCATGAATGAGAGTTCACATACCTCTTTCTCTTCTAGCAGTTTTTCCACCCGATTTCTCAAGCATAAAACTTCTGATTCTTTCTCCAGCAACTGAACAGGGACTTAGTAATACTTAGAAATCAACATCTTTACATACTTGGCCTTCTAATCTCTTGAATGTTTCTTCGTTATAACAATCGGATACGGGTACGGGTACAACTACTGGTGCCGGTTCTGTCTCCACCTTGTTTCTGTAGACTTCATTTTCAGTTTTGATTCGGGCATTTTCTAATTCAAGTCTAGAGTACTCACTATCCTTTTCCCTCATCTTAAAAACAATCAAAGTAAAAAAGTTTGAGAAGCAACCTGATACCTGATCTCGCAATGCACGAGCATTATCTGTTGCTTCCTGATATTGCACTTGCAGAAGATTATTTTGGATGATAAGTTCGTCAACACAGTTTTGTTGAACCTATTACAAACTAGTTTGGATAAACAAGGGATATTTCCTACAGTGATCTCTTTCTCAAAATCGTCAGCCATCTTTTTGGCTCTGGTTGCATCTTCTGTTACTTCCGTGATGGCGGATAGAGCTTCTTTCAATTGCTCATTGAGACCCTCAATTTCCTTTTCGTTCGAAGACAAAGTTTCTTCGGCTGTCTTCAACTTCTCCTTGAGATCCTCATTAAGAGTTTCTATAATCCTGGAATTAAAGTCTATTAGATGAGATCCATTACAAATGCATACTTCATCTTCTTCTTGTATAAGTCATTATACATGGTTTCCCCTTGTTCTTCTTTCTTATGCAATTCTTGATATTCTTCCAGCAAAGCAACTCTCTCCTCGAGCAGCCTGTGCAAATATATTTACGACAATTCAAGAAGAGTAGCTTACTTATTAGCATTCTCCAGAGCTTCTTTCTGTTCAGTGACTTGTGTCAGAAGATTTTGAAGCACGGAAGTTTCGCTTTTCTGCAGATCTTGCAAATTCTTCATCGAATCGATATAGTTAGAAAGCGCTTCAGGATCTTCCATCGTTTCCTGCTCTTTCCGTTTTTCTTTCAACCTGGGAAAACAAGAACACAAATGAGCTGAGATTCAGGAAACTTACCCCTCTACGAATACTTGTAACCTATCATTTTCTGATACTAAAAAGTTATTTGTCTCCCGCAGACGACTCAAATCTTCATCGATCGATCCTACTGCAGCCTTGAAGTTCTGGATGTCCGAACGAAGCTTTGTACGGTCTTGAATAGAATTTTCTAGCTCTTTCCGTAAATTATCCACTTCTTTCTGAATAAATTAGATAAAGGAGTTGAGAATTGAAAAACGAACCGTCATCAGATCATCTTTCTCAGCATTCTTTGTTCTCGCCTCATCCAAGTCATTCTTAATTCGGTCGAAATTACTGTTAAGTCTCTCCAGCTGTCTGCTAGTGTCAGCATTCTCTCTTCTACAGATCTCGTACCGCTCTTTGTATTCAACCAAAGTTGCGCTCAGAAACTCTACGATTGGAAGTACTTGCTATTAAGAGATGTTCAGATGTACCGATTCTTCTGCTCATCTCTTCATTACGAGCTTCCACGTCCTCCGAAGTAGTTCTCGCAGTCTTGAATTCTTCATACTCATCATTCATCTCATTGTAGGCATTAGTCAACTCCTCATTCTGCTCACTTAAAATACTAATCGATAAGTATAGAGAAAATTTGAAACTAACACAAGGCTAACGATCTCTTCCTTTTGAGATTTAATTTCAGCATAAAGCATTGCCTGGTCTTTGAGATCTACCAATAATCGCTCTATTCTAGCATTAGCTTCAGCCAGCTTGTTCTCCATTTCCATGGAGGAGGGGGATGGTTCAGATGGCTCAGACCCATCAATTATATCCACGATTAGAGGTTTATCATCATTTGATGATTTCCGCTTAACCTCCAAAAATTGAATTAAAAGTAGAAAAAAAATTTCTTACGATTGCTTCTAACTTCCGCTTCTCTTCTAATAACTCTTCTTTCTCTAGCAGTACAGTGTCAAGCAGATCCACATTGCTGGTAGAAGACGACGAGGCGAGCTGGAAGACGAAGAAAAATGAAATGATAAGATAATGAATCAATATTTTTTTGAAGAGGAGAGTGAAGCATTTGAATGAGGTGAGACTAAATTCAAAATAAAAGTAATGACGAAGCTGTCACTAGTACGATACAGGAGTATTTTGCAAAATGAATGACTCAATGACACTGGAAGAGATTTGTATATCAGAGACCTATTCCACGTGTCAACAGAGCATGCAAATTGACGTGGAACAGAAATTCATTTTTAGCTTCTCAGCTCGTAGAGAACGGTTGCGTCTGCTGAACTGGAACGCGTCATCGTACAGCGGCTATATAAATGTCAAAAAGACGCAATCAATAAAATTATAGCTTTCAGAATTGCAAGTTGATGATTAGTAGAATGAAATTATGAGAAAATAATATCATGACATTAATAAAAAAGTGTAGAAAGGCTAAAACTAGTCGTACATATAATTTGGAACTAGAGCGGAGTACTGAAAGAAGAGGAGAACCATCTTGACTTTTGAACACTCAAGTGTCAGTAGAGAGAATAAACACTGTACATACCCGAAGCGTTGCCATCTTGTCTTCATAACTTTCTCTAAGTTCGGCAATAACATTAGCGTGATATTCCATTAAAGATGCCACCTCGGTGTCTTTAAGAGCTTGCAGCTTATCAATGAAAGCTTCGTGCTCTGATCTGGATATCATTGGCTGCAGAATCGTCTCAGTACGGATATTCTAGTGGACGCTTTTTACCTCAGCATTTCGCTCCATGTACAAAGATTTCCAGTGTTGGACTTCTTTCTCAAGATCTGCACATTTCTCTTCTTCATCATCATCGAAACCCTCTTCCCAATCCTCTGCTTTGATACGTTCAAGTTCAACCTAAAGATAAGATATCAATACAACGATAAGAGACGGATTCAAACCTTGAGCTTAGATATTTCCGAATCGCGAGATTTCAGAATATCTTCATACTTGCCTTTATGATTATCCAATTCCGACTGTGTGGCATAAAGTTGTTCTTCTAGATCTTTCGCATGTGCTTCCAAAGAACCAACTTTACGCTGCTCAGTCGTCAACTGCGCTTCAAACTCTGAGCATTTCTTCTTAGCAACCTTAAGAAAGTTTCGGTTCTGGGCAACGAGAGAGATAAGTACCTGCAACTCGGAATTTGGATCATCGATTTCTTCTGTTGCTTCGCTCAAAACTTCATTCGCAAGATCTGTCAGTTGACCTTGCAAATTTCTCAACCAACTCATATTTTATGGATCAACTGCGAAATTTCATTTACAGTCTTAATGAAATAATGAGTTTGATTATGAAATATTGAAAATTCATCTAATTTACGACAAACAACACTTCGTTATAACGTTAAATGAAACACGAGTGTAGATAGGTAATCTCGTGACAGCGAGTTCAAAAAATCAATAAAAGTTCAAAAATAGAGAATGCTGTCTTGAAAAGATGGTTTTGGAAGCTGAATCTTTAAGTGAAGCTGAAAGGGAAGAATCCAGTCAGCCCGTAGTCAAGTGATTCTAACAGAACAGTTTCCAATCGATAATTATTGATGGAACATAGGCGTAATAGTGGTCGATTGAAATTGATAAACATCTCGCATTTTCAGAAGCGCCTTGTTTGTTTTCCAAACGAGGCTTAGTTAAAACATAATTTTTCCAACTTTACTCTTCCATCTGTCACAAAAAAAAACGCCTCGGGGGGTAATAAACCGATTTTCTCAGAAAACTACTATCATTACATAAGTTTACGACACCTGTGAGAAAAACGTCTTAAGAAATCATAAAAAATTTCGAAATCATTAACACCTCTTAAAGTCGATCAGTCGAATCAGTCTAAGAAGTCAGTCGACGAGCTGCGGTCAGCTCGCGCGGTGTGAATATGAGTCAATCAAATTCCGAGCGATCAAAAAGAAAGAAACAAGAAGATGACTGGTAAGTATTAGATGAAGAGACATCTCCCGGATGTAAGTGATGAGTCGTATGAGAACTGTCAAGAAAGGAGCGAACAGATATCTTAGCATGGGATGTTCTCAATCAAGGCGCGACTCAGCTGTGAACTTTCGTAGGCAATAATGCAAGTAGGATGAGTATTATCAAATACAATGCTCATAGCAACATTTGACCTTTGTTAAAAGCGATTAAAAATGGAAATTATGCAGCATAACCACCAAATCAGGCATATCCACGCTTGTGAAAAGCCTTATTTTCTTGACGGGACCATTTTTGGAAGAACCTTTAAAACTGATGTTGCTGATACGTCTATCTATTAGCAATTCGTATTCTTATATATATAATATGCAAATGTGAATATAGATGTTTTCGAGTGACAAGTCGCGTGTATATGATATATCTTGAGTTTGAGTGTGATAGTTGATAATGAACTCTTTCAGGATGAGCACAAATGAACCGGAGACTCCTGTCGATAATGGTGTTTCTCCGACTCCTGACTCGGTTTGTCCATCACAACTATAACTTGTTTCAATTACGAATGTTAGAATATGCAACAATCAACTAGTAAATCAGCTTTGCTCTCATGTGAAATGTGTCAGAATTATGAAACTAATTTGACTATAATGCAGGTCAGTGTATTCTTAAGAAGCTTTCCACTTATACATTCATCAATAGGAGGAAGAAAGAAGGTTGAAAACTGAGATTAAGTCGCTGAAAGGGATAACTACTCGTTACGAAGAAGTAATTGCCAAAGATAGATCTTACAAGCAAGATTTGGAGAAGAGAATGGCTGAAGTACGATGTTGTAAGCTTACTTTAACTAACATTTACATTCTATAGTTGGCTGCTGAGACTGAAGATATAGTGGACAAGGCCATAAAGGAGAATTTGAGATTAGATACTAGCCTCAAGAAGTTTACTGAACAGCAAACTAAGGAGTTACTTGCTCACAAAGCTGAAATAGACACTTTGAGCGGAGCGTTTGCCACTTATGAGACCAACTATGCCGAGTTATCCAAGAAGTATAAGGTTTTTCATTTAGTTTGCTAATCAAAAAAACTTTTGTGTGTTAAGGATTTGCTTGGTTTCAATAGATCTTCGGCTGATGAAATGAGATCAGAAGTCATTGATTTGCCTCAAGAAGTCGATAAGTTGCAGTTCATATGTTTGACACTTCGGTATGTTTCAATGATATTGATTCTTTTGATATGACTTTTCCAGAGAGGAGCTTATTGAATTGAAAGCAGCGAGAAACCATGAACGAAACGTGTCAAAAGATGAAATAACTGTTCTGAGAGAGCAGTTCTCTGAAAGTTTCCGGGTAAAAGAAGGCGTAGAACGCGATTTGCTCAATCAAGTAAACGACCTCAACACCAAGCTTGGTATTGCTAGTAGTAAAGTAAGAAATATCTCTTATATCATCACTGAGTAGTAATTGTTCCAGTTAGTATCCGTTGGAGATGCTGTAGCCATAAGCGATGAACAATCTCGTAAAATTAGGGATCTTCAAGAAGCCGTGGCTGAGTTGGAAGCACAAGTAACTCAAGTCCAAAACGAGAGACAGGCTGTAGAAATGACTGCTCAAAACTATAAAGCAAGGTGCAGTGCCTTACAACAAGAGTTGGATACGATGGAATGTGTACAGAAGGATTTCGTGAAGCTTTCTCAGAGCTTACAAATCCAGTTAGAGAAAATTAGGCAATCTGAACAAGTGAGTAACGAAACGAGTATGATATATTCATAACAATTCAGGAAGTGAGATGGCAGTGGGAAGAAGATGTTGAAAACTGCTCTGGATGTGAAGTATCGATAGCCAGGTTGCGACCGAAACCCAGGTAAGAAGTTAGAAGCATCCTCACTATGTATCGAATTCAGATGCCATCATTGTGTTAAACTGTTTTGTGAACAATGTGTGAAGACTAAAGTTCCATCAGGACCGAACAGAAGACCGGCCCCAGTTTGCCAAGTTTGCCACACCTTGCTAGACAGGCAAGTTCTTCTTGTTACTTTCAATTTACTCAATTCTGTCTTTTCAGAGAAGGAAGACCATTTTTCGCTCAGGATCCCAAATGAAATCACTTATAAACCCGGTAACATGCATCTCACATTTTTATTTTAGTCATTGTACATTAGAAAATGTAATTATTCAATTTTTAATTGCTTCACGGTGATTGGTCCGATGACTACAAACACACCTATGGTATGAATAGTCTTCTCTCCAATATTATAAAGCTTGCGAGATCCTGACACCTCCGTCGGACTCGTAACTTCTCCATTGATTAACAAATCCAAATTGTCTGTGTTTTCGCAAAAAATTTCGGCTGTGATCGGTTGTTTGACGAAGTTTGCATGAAGAAGTCTTAATTTTATGTTTTTTTCCCTTGTTTTATTAAATCTTACGTATATTGTCCTTCTTTCTCAAGATGTAATCCATTTGTTCGAGGTAAAAGCCGCAGACCTTCGAAAAGAGGTTGAGGCTCTATTCGAGAGATACAGAATGTCTGGATGTAGTCGATCGTGATCCGGGAAATCAGCATTCAACTTACATTGTCTTCTATTCCAGAATGAAATGTAGTTGAGAAAGGGAGGGTCGTCAACGATCTTTCAGATACATAGGGACGTAGTTTTTCCCAAAATCTACTCACATATATGATTCAACATGCATTACATACTTGATTCCTTGTACTATAGGGTCCAAGGAAGGATATTTTTCCGAAATCCATCCTGGAGCAAACAACGCAATCGACATCCGTAGGTAGCGTATTTTGCTGAGGGGTTTGTAGCAATCCCATTCGCCTTGAAAAGTCGTGCAAAATCGAGTATATGAACCAACTACCTATGCATCCTCGAGCAAAAACATCTACACCCACATAAATTCTATTAAGTATGCCAAAGTCAGCGCTATTCAGAAGATTCTCATCCGACCAATTGTAATTCAAATAAATACCATCACAGCTATCGTAGAACTCTCTGCAGTAGGGAAGTAGTTTTTAGGATTGAAAACTGATTTCTTGCTTGTTCAGGACGTTCAACTGATTTTGCCATCTCAGCTTACCATCGGCGATGACAGAATCGTACCAAATGACACGAGAGACTGCCACAGCCTCTCTCATTCGTTCAGTCAAGAGAGAAACGAACTTTTTCATACCCGCAATCTGTTCTTCCTTAAAAGAACTCTTGGCATCGTGCTAATAGGAGATTCTAACTTTCAAAACATTCTCGATGTTTATCAACCATCCTTCGAATCCATAATGAACTGCCAAAGCTACTAGCTGATTCACCGATTTCTCAATAGTCTCCTCATCTTTCAGCATTTTCTCGCAGATTTTCTCTCCGTCTTTCCATTCGGTTATGAAAGTTCCCATGACCAGACATCCTTAACAACATGTGTTCTAGGAAACAAGAATCTAGAAACCATGCTCATGAGCTACTTTAATATATCCACGAGGAGGAATGGTCACACAATGATGAGAAAAGTAACAGAAGATGTCAATGTTCCACCAATTCAAGAACACATAAGGTTTCTGATCGTCCGTAAAGGTATGAACGTCATCACTAGAACGTTCGTTCAAAACTTGACACATGCAGAAAACGAAAAACCTTTCTTCGGCCAAATATCCTCCTTTCATGTCATGGCAAATCAAGACTTCTGGCTCTCCTTCCTTCAACTTATCCTTCCTAGGATACACGTTCAAGAGTTTACTATTCAACACCAATTTACTTGTAGTGTCTCAACTCAGTTTTCTTCTCCGATTTCAGAGCATCTGCTTTCCAATCCAACAACTCTTCCAATGAATCGAGGGGTGTGATGCTCATCCTTCTAATGAATTATGAAACTCATTTTCGTATTACAACAAGTATCTGATGTCGAAACATATGTAAATAGGGTCGGTGGTCTCTTACGAATTTATTAAACAGTATCACAACTTTCAGAATGGATAAGGACTAACCAAAGAATGAAAAAGAATGAACTACAACTCGTCGTTTGTTCCGTCTTCTTCTACCTCGTCTTCTGGCTCATCAGGTGGGAGAGGAGACATGTCAATAGATGTGCAAAGTCCTGAATAGAATGAGAATGAAAATCAAAAAAGGAATGATTATTCACCGAGTTCTTCTTGACAATAAGCCTTGACGTTGTCTTCTCTCTCGGTTCCTAAAAACTTGATTATCTCGTCCTCATTAGAATCAACTAGATCATTGCACTGAAATCTCGAAAGTGAAATCATTAGATGAGCCATGTACAAACCGCATTGTGCAGTTTAGCACGAATCGAGCTGCTTTCGTCACCTTTCAGATAGGTTGAATCCTTCTGAACGAAAACGGCTTTTCCCGTCAAAGGGTTGACCTTAATTATTATCGATTCAATAAACGCCAAGAAGAACTTATAATACCGCAAGCTTATACTCTTTCGACTTATCACAGGCACTCTCTAGTATTTCACTGATATGTGTTTTTGATCGAGCATAGGGCACCTAGAGATATGCTGCTCCATTGATTATTACACGTCATACCAAACCTGTTGCAGCCCAACTTGTTCTCCTTTTGGATTAACTCGATAACTACCGGCTTGAATAGTTTTAGAAGGATCAACCTTCTTTATAGTTTTTTCAAGCTCCCCGATGAGCAAAACACATCCTTCAAAAGCAAATCAGCATGTCATTTGCATAGTGAACTTACCTCCACAGTCGTAGGACATTTTAGGAGAAGCTTCAACCATAAACAAGCATCCTAGCGATAATAATACAGAAAATAGCATAATTGAAGCAGCAAAAAACCTAACTAAACAAACAAATCTAAGAAATCGGCGTCCTACGTAGGACTATCTCATCATACCTTCGCACACACATTCGGGTAAACACAGTACACTGCTCACACATCCAAATCTGCTATGTTAATGATAGAACTGCCTCTCATTATTTTTTATTAATTTTATGAGAATGATGAGATTGAAGTGAAATTCAAGTGAAGAGGCCGTGTATGATCTGTTTGAACCAATCAATCGTTAATGGTGAGCCTGCATAAAATAAATTTACACTTCCAAAGGCGATATTCTAATTTCTTGAGAAAAGACCGAAGCGGAAGTGACTTTCATTTTGAACGCTAGCAGCGCAGTGCACGGTTGTGCAAACTGGTTACATTCGGTCCTTTAGTAAATCAGTTTGTCTTGATTGAAATGTCAGAATACGGATTATCAACTAATTTATTCAATGTTTTTTTCTTTCTCTGCTGGAGTCATTTCTTGGTTGTATGCTGAATCTACTCGACATGAACTGTCCACAAGTCTTCAATCGTGAACCCTGATTTTAGTTGCTCCACGGCTAAACCAAGATTTTCGGAAAACACTGGCGGTCGCTTCTCATCGTGGTTACTAGTTGTTCCTTGTGTGAAATATGCCTGTAGTGGATTGAGTATTATAGTTTTCACTATGAACTTACTGCAAAAGCATCTGTCCTTAGCTGTTTCTCCTCCACTTCTATGTCATCCTCCAAATGGTCAATGGCCTCAGTTTCTGGTGTAGGTCCAGCTGCTTGGAACTGAAACATGGGATTATTGTATTATCGAAATGGCTTACTTACCTTGAACGTCACTCCATATACTGGATTCATGAACTGATTCTTATGGAGAGCATGAATCATTTTACACGTCGCATGCATTTTCTCAGAAGGATCTATACGGAATCCCAGCACGTATTCTCCACTCTATATACATTTTGAAGAACTGTTTGCATCCATCAACATACCGCAGTAGTAGTCTCTAAGACAAGAGCTGGGCCAAACTTGGAATCTCGAAGTTTACTTCCGAAGAGTTGCAAATAAGGTATAGATACATTATAATTAGTATTCGTCTGAGCGAACCAAACGATACGCAAGTTGGTGATCACAAACACCCCAAGTGTACCCTGTAATGTTCCGTAGAGCTATACGTTGTCTATGAATACTCACTTGATCATGACTCAAATTCCAAACCCCTGACAGTCTTTCACACATTTGTTCTCCAGGTAAGAGCTTCAAGTCTTCGTTGTCGTCAATAATGGCTCCTCTCATCTTCAACTCCCTGTAGAGTTTGGTAGTCTCATAAGAGCGGAGAACTGATGATATTGTATTGAATAGACGAGCGTGTAGCTAAACTTTGAATCTAGCAGTGATATTTAAATGGAGCTTACACTAGAAGTGACCGATGTGAAGATGAATTCAAACTTTGTTTGGCTTTCCCTCACTCGTGCCAACATGAATAGAGCCTCTGTATCCACTCCTCGAATTTTCTAAAATTTGCTAAGTTTTTTTAATGATATGCAAGGCTCTGATCCAACTGATTGAACACGTTTTGTCTGCATCCCCGTAATGCATCCGTACCCAATTGACAAATTGACTCTGGTCATGGTAGCGGAGTGCCAGATAACTCGGAGGTTCGTTATTCTAATCACTCCTAAGAGTAACATAATACAGTCTTAACTTTATGGAATGCTTTTCCTACCTCTCTCTCCGTTATTTCCCTTCGTATCTTCAACATTATCCAGACGATCGATAAGGCATTCGCCTGGGATCAAGCGGAGCATTCTAGCAATAACAATATGAACTGAATAAACGATTTATTGAACTTACCGATGATCCACATCGAAACGAATATCTCTACATTGCCAAAGTGTATCTCCTTTTTCGTTCGACATCATATGTCAAAAAGCACAAGCCCCGAATGAATCTACTAGGTGGTGGCACCTTTAGTTACCATGACAACGCAACACAAGCAGTTCGATAGAAATATTTTACTCCCGTAGTTTCTCGTGTATGTACAAACAAAAGTATTCCAAAACATTATATCACATAATATCAACTTATTAAATAGCACAATGAGCTTAATCACATCAAGAAATATCTCAGGAAATGTCACAGCTTTTAGTTTTGATTAGTATAGGTTATTAGTTCGATTAACTGGCGACGCCTTGAGCGTAAGTACCCGTTGGTGGCCGGAAAGCCTGAAAACAGATTCTTAATTCTATCTGACTGTATCGTAACTTACTTTTGGTAAAAAGTGCATTTGGAATGGACTGAACGAATAGATGTTCTTTCCAACATTCTTGCGGCAGTTCTCTCGTCGAACACCGTCTTTCCGCAAGGAAACAACTACTTCATTAACCTGAAAAATATTCTGATGATGATTATTCCAAGCAGCTGATTTAATACTTGAGATGCATTAAGACCACATGTCTGCTGCAATGTCCATCCCTGAGCTAGGGTTGCAGCCATGCCGGTCCTATCTTTCCCACTCTTACAACAGAGAACAGAAACCCCGTTGAGAGCATCACAAGCGGCAGAGCCATATTCAAAAATTTGTAAGTTTTTACGTGATGGTTCTTGAGCAACCTATATATACAAATTAGGCATCAGAGTAGTCTCTATAACTTACAGCTGTAACTAATTGTCCGACAAGTTCTCTAGCTGTTGTAGAACAATCAACTCTGTTAGCATAATTATTCAGGCGTTCTGCTCCCTCCTGGTTGATTGCAGTTTCGAAGGCGATACCACCAAATGATTGTCCCAGAGTGGCTTCATGATTTACCTATATGAGCAATCAGAATAATGTCGCAGAGAAAATGGTACGTACTCCAGTATTGAAGAAACAAGCTTCCACTTTAATTGAAGATTTATTTTTCAACTCCTGAGGTAAGTTATCATACGTGTCATGAGGTAACGGAATTGAAATCTAGAAATAACAAATTGACAACTATATGGAAGACTGGCTAGTCATACCTTGATGTTGTTTCGAGACCCACTAATCATAGGAATGCAATTTCTGCAGACAGTCGAAGGAGCTCGAACCAAGATGAACTCAGCACGTGCAAAGAGAATTCTACGAAATTTGAATAAACCACAAAGTTCGATTGAAACCTACTTCCAAGCTTCCCACGCATCTTCTGCCATACCTCGTTCATCACCATACGCTGACAGAAAAGAGAAAACACAAAGAAGTAAATCTGCAGCCACTCCTTAATGGAAAAATTGACAAATGATCTCACTAGTTCACAAAAATTTTGAGTTTTCAAAAGCGTGACGGGAGTTGGCGCGTTCACGTAATTCACGTGGATAGAAATCATTTCGCGTATGCAAAGTCGACAATCGGTTGCGTTCAAATTTTTAGAAACAATGATCTTTACTCCCGTCCAAGACTTACCTCCATTAGTTAGCCAACCACAGTTAATTCTACTCAAAATAGCGGTCGCTGCTATTGTAGCCACCTAAAAATAATAATTTACATGCAAGTTCAATGGGAGAAATCACCTGCGACAATACGAAATCCGATCTGAGCTGAATATGGAAATAGTTATGAGCTACTGCTGGCTTACTCAATGATAAAACTGAAAGTTCAAAACTGTCATAAATTCTCATTTAGTCAACTAACCGAGTCCGAAGAACTGAGCTTCTAATAGTGAATCAGCAAAAATCAAAAGTAGATCAAGGCAATTCGAGAGAGCCTCACGAGCACTCTTTTCATAACTTCTTCGCTCAGCCTGCAGGAACAGTTTAAACTTTTCCATCCTTTTATGATATTCTACCTGTGCATCATCCAAAGTATCAATAACAGCTATTTTAGTGTTCAGACTAATCAACATGGCATCAATGGTGTCGATCTGATTTCTCAGACTATCCGGAACTCTGTTCTCCGTCTCAAATATTCCGAAGTACAAAAACTCAGAGAACGATGTGAAAACCTTGATTCCAAGATCAGCTCTTCGTCGATCTTCTTCTAAAAGAATATCCGCACACTCCTCTATGCTGCTTGACCAAGCAACCGAGTCTTTCAGACCTTCATATACCTCAAAAGCAGGATGTGCTAAGAAACATAATGGATCAAATACTGACCTGCTTGATCCCTGCACTCATTTCTAAGCAAACCTTATCAGGTTTTCCGAAATCAGCAATCTTCCATTCAGTTTCCAAACTATAAAATGAAATTGCCACTAAGAAACGTTTTGATAGCTACCGATGACTGAGCTCTCCGATATTTTTCTTCAAACTAAGAATCGTTTGTCTCTTACTCCAAAAAGCATAGTCGTGGTAGTTAGGATCAACTTCTAATGCTGTGCATAATCTGCTCAGGCCACCATTCTAAACTCTCATATCACTAACGATAGTATGAAAACAACAAACATGGAATCGCAAAGGAACAGCTGAAGCTGTCCCACATGTTAGTATTTCTTTATGAGCGGTGTTTGAAAGACCAAAACTCTGAGAGAGATCAATAAGAATAGAAAAACATAAGAACAGACCTGCAGATGAAGATTAGTAGGCACGTTTGCAAAGGCAATACGATGTTTTTCAGTGGACTTCCGGAAGGATGGACCCTGAATAGTTAAAGGAACTTGAAGTTGTTGGAATTCCGTTCATACCGAATAAGTATTCATGAACTCATAGCATTGTTCAAATGTCTCACCAGTTTCACGAACTTCTCTCAGAACTTCATGAAGAGCTGGTATTGCATAATGAGGCCATGAGCGTTGTCGTGATTCCAACAAGTAAGCGAATCTTCAATCGTGTCTTAAGATATATACAAAGCTGATTATCTTACTCAGTGTTCCATTTTCGATATGATTTTATCATTTCGGTAGGTAACAACGTGGATAGTTTGGATTCCCATAATGATTCTTCTACTACTATCCGTCTAGCGGGTAAACTGTTTTGCTGAACAACAATGAATGAGTAACAACTTAGAATGCCAAATACCTGAGATATGGCAAAATTATGTGTGAATCGGTAAGGATTAGCCAAGTAGAAGCTGTGGAATGTTGACGGAGACTCAGGAGAAGGATCATTCTGTGTTGACATGGTGTAGAATTTGTATGCTAACTCATCAAGTTCAGCTCTCAGCATTTGATGAGAACAAGTGGCAATCTGTAAAGTCATGAAAGACCTTTTTATGGCCATTAATATGAAATGTACCTGCACAATCCATTTTTCAAGAGCTTCGTCACCACTAAATTGGAGGCGAGTGTTTTCTTGAGCGTCAGCAAAGGCCAAGACTAAGGTCGTATTGTCTGTCTGGAGAAGGATTGTTTTGTTTGTCATGGAAAAAGTACTTACTTCATCTTTACGAACAGTGGCTCCTTCTAAGACGAAGATCAAAGGCTCTTGTGCTTCATGAGTAGCATTACAACAAAGAATATTTCCATGAATATAAAGCTTAAACATGCTTTAAGGACGAGCAAAAGAGAAATCGGCTAACCTTGGCAGAGAAAGTTTTGGATTTATAGGTCACAGAGACATTTTCATCGTTTTCAGAGACATTTTTACAAATATATTTATAGATATCATGAGCATTGTCTTCATCCATTACCTATAAGCTGAGCATTAGTCAATTCAACAGACACGCTTCGTCTATCTCAATGTGGAGCACTCAAATGGTTAATAATACGTTTTTGAGAATAAAGTTTGTTCTGAAGCAGGAAATGTTCATACACATGCTTCCGATATGGAAATATGAGGAAAAAAAGCATACGCAGGTTGTCGTGTTGACCAACAAAGGGTTAAACACACTCAAAATTGGATTAATGTTTACATTTCGATGAATAATAAGTTTAAATGGCGTCTTCGTTCATGATACTTCAGAAGACCTTTCGAAGAAGGCTATCTTCGTGCATCGTATATAAACTCAAAACTATTATATTCAGTAGAGCAATCGATATTTCTTCCAATTGAGGAAACATGCCAGCATGTTTTTTCCGCTATTTTCAATCATCAAAAGTCATTGTCCATACAAGCGCTATTTGTTTATTTTAATCTCGAAATACGCAAAATCGCGTCCGAATTCTGAGCAGGTGTTGTGGGATGGAGCTCATTTGAATAATAGCATTGATGTTTTGTTTATTTAAAAAGAACAAAATGTAATCTTACTTTTATTTGAAGGACACTCGTTGAACGTGAAAATGAAAATTCCGTTTGAGTTTCGATCGCAACCGTTTTGCTATGAGAAATTTTGAAACAATAGTTTGCTATCAAGTGTTTAGCTTAACAGACTCAGATAATGACGCGGAAATATGCAAATACGTGGGTGGAAGCCTCACGGCAATCACGTGAACTCATTCTCATTTTGTGTTTGTCGAGAGTGGATAGTCCTTATCTATGTTTTCATATTCCCATAATATTAGTGTTTTGCTATTTAGGACAAATTCCAAAAATAAAAATTATTCAAAGAATGTTTATTGTGCGCCTACTCACAAGTTCGTAATCGCTCTTAATATCTAATATGACATTAATAGTATTCGTTTTCTTACTAACACTAGTGTTACAGATAATGAAAACTACTTCAAATCTATGACAATATGCGACATCATCAGTTTTTAAACAATAAGGAGCCTAAGTCTCGTTTCGTAGATGCTATAGGAGATCCGTTTTGGCTCCGGCATCAAGTAGAGTCATGGAACGGTAAACAAATCGCGCGATGGATCGAAGGTAAGTGTATGAAAGTGCTATTCTTACTCAGATTGATTTCTTAGGTCTTGGAGACAGTATGAATCCATTCACTTCATTAATAAGAACTCATGTGAAGAACGGTAAACATCTACCATTAATAGATAATCAAACTCTGTGCAACATGGGCATTAATGGGTTAGGAGCACGTAAATTGATCATTCAAGCCATAGAATTGCTTAGTTATTTCGTGAGTCATCTTCTCGTTTTACAGTTATACGTTATGAAATTTACAGTGTAACGAAGCTCCACGAGAAAACTTGCAATCTCTTACTATGAAAGTGGTTGTGAGTGCAGCTAGATTAGCACAGACGTTAAGTTGTGCACCAGAAAGGAAAGACAAGGTATACATGGCATCGCTACAAGGTTTCAAAATTCATTTAGGCATGTCGCAAGTCTGAGATTGTTTTGATCTTGAACAGTATTACGAGTGACATTTCCAGTCTGGTTGAGGAAGTGAAAAGATTGATTTTCTGGTTGGACAGGTTTCAAGTTCACTTTTGGTACTATCTGATTGATTTGCATCGTTCAGAAGCCCTTTCGATGAAAATGAGCTGTATAATGAGTGGAGAAATAAGTTATCGGAATTAATATTATCTTTAGTGGAGAAGGCGGTTATTAATCCACAATCAATTTTTAATATGTCTACCATTATGGCTGAAGTGAGGAATAATTCATTACTAGCATTGGTGAATATATTTTTGTTTCAGACATCACAAATTATAAAAGAGATGTGTTCGTCAGCCATCATCGAAAATGAAGATCCTGCTATTCTATATACCGCCCACACGGAGAACGCTCTAATAAAACGGAGTAATAGTGAAATAAATTGGGTAAACCTGTCTTTATACATAGAGACTATTAATCAGCGGTTAAGGGAATAAACTTACAATCATCTTATCGTGGCGTCCATGTCATCAGCGAAATAAAAGAAGGTTCACCAGCTGATGTCTGTGGCAAAATAGATGCTGGAGATGAAATCTTGCTCATAAACGACCGAACGGTGAGATAGTTATCTCCCGTACAATCAGTCAGAGAGTTTAGGTCATTGGATGGGACTTGGTTAAAGTTGCCGAAAGATTAGGCTCTAATGTAGGTCTGAAATTAACACTTGTTGTGAATAAAAGGCCTCGGGATGCTCCATCCGTACTGCTGCGTAATGCTCCCAAGATTATTACCAAACCGCTCGGAAAAATGATACCTGGTAGTCAAGCTACATATACAGGAGGCCACGAAAAATCATTCCTCCAGGTATGGCAATGTAGAAGCGCTTTATCTATCTAATCGTTTAGGGATTGAATTATCCATTGAATCGACGACGCTCTTCCACGTTCGTGAACACATTGCAGAAAATCGAATTTCTACGGCAGACTGAAATCGAGAGATTGAAAAACAAGTGAGATTATTACCTTCGAAGCCGAAATTATATGATGTTTTCAGCCAAAAAAATGTCAGAAAAAGACGGGCATCAATAAGTTGTAGTCGCGAGCGAAAGCGCGATTATGATGATCAGCACGGTCGGTTGGATTGGAATCTGATGGAATTATTAGGGTATGTTTCATTACTTTGTAACAAATACCTTCACTCTCTCTCTTTCTCTTTCAGACGGCCTGAAGGAAAAGAAACACACGTGGTTCGGAGGGCAAGAACAATGCGCCATCAGCCTGATGGATATGTTCGCTCTTTCATTGACAACAAGCTAGTGCATGAAATAGAAGAAGATGTTGTTACGGAACAACTTCCTTGCAACGTTTTATGTATGTTTTCATTAAACAAAATATTGCTGAAAGTGGTGATTGTTAGGTCCTGCTGAATTTGCTTCCATTACTGTGGTTGACAATGCTGAATTATCCGACTTGAATATTGTTGAACCGCAGTTAACAGATCCAGACTGGTCTGCTCCGCCCAATGAACTTATGGGTCAAAGGTTCAGCAGAGTATCTGTTGCAGAAATATCAGGATCACGTTTCAGAGCTCCCTCGTAATGAGTGATAATTTGACGTTTACACTTATTTTTTGTTGCAGACACTTGTGTTATAATGAGGAAGCGTTATCTGCTGGCTATGTGCAAGCCAGTCCTTCTAGTTCATCAATTAATAGTGCATGCAGTCCTGCTCCATTCAAACTTCTAGCTAGTCCTTTGTTGGACAATTCCGCAGGAAGTGGAGAAGACCTTCCTTCCACTCCTACTACTCCCTATCTCGCTTGTGGAGATAAGATATTTGAAGGATGGATTCGACGAAGGTAATGAGTTCCTTCATATTCAGCTATATGTTCATTCTTGCAGGAAAATCGGAAGAGAACTATCCGAAAATACTAATAAATGGCCCAAGTGTTGGATGTGTCTAAGAGGACCCAACTTGAGCATGTTCTCTAATCAACATGTGAGTGTGTTCAATTCTTCGTTTTCATATATTCCGTTTCAGTCGAGGAATCCTGATTTCACCCTTAATATTGCCAAATGTAGTGTCTCCGGAAATGTCCAAATTAAAACTTCGAAGAAAAAGTATGTCATCAGTTGCTCTTTTGTTTCTCCTTTCACACGTTGAGAGAATAACTGAATATTTGTTTTTCCAGTGTGTTCCGTGTATCGAAATCCAATTTGGACTACTATTTCTCTAGTTACAGCCCTCAGGATATGAAAAGGTATAGCATAGCTTCGTATGTCGTACAGTTTCTGTGTTCAGCTGGATCATGAAAATCTCTTATGCTATTGATATATACGGTATCCCTCCTCGTGGAATGTCAAAGTGTATGTGCATTCTCCATGTTTTCGTTATCAAACTATTTTTAGCTATGACGTATTACAAAGACCAAGAGAGTGGGGATGAAACACAGTTTCATTATAATACCATGACTGGTATACCATCGCTGATGTCACAAAGTGTGAGTAGAGAATCTTCATCTTGAAAGTTGATATTTCCGTTTTCAGCAAGAGGGACATCACATTTCTGGCATCAATACTTTACCTCGTTCAGCAGGAGCGCTTCTAGCTGGTCTAACTAGTAAAAGCAAACCTGCTTCTCCTACTACTGTAAAACCAAAAAAATAATTGTGTAATATACTTTCTACCAAAGCTTTACTTTCGAGTTGCGAAAGGCATTGAACATACTTCTATTCTTCGGCTGGTATAACCAGGAGCAAGTCTAGTGCTTTGACTGTGATGTTTTATACGCTCTTCATAATGATATCTCTCATGTGATCTAATATTTCTAGTCACTTTTTTCATAATAAAACTGTTTTTATACAATCGATCTAGCTGACTAGTTCTCGTCTTCATCATATCTCTAATCGCAACTGGTAACCGTTATTAGAATATTTGTAGGAATGCGCATATCATTATGGTTCTTTATAGGAATCAGTTGTACCTTAGCCGATGATACTATATCTAGAGTAGACGAAACCAAATACAGTATTGCCAAAGAAAAAAAATATTTGATATATGATGTTAATAGGGGAGAAGGCTTTAATCTTAGACGCGATGTATATATGAGAATAGCCAATAGTGTTCGAACTTTGAGAGAATCAGGTATCAATGAGTTCAGCAAGGCGTTTCAGTTTGTTGTTCTTAAGGTGAGAACTTTGTCTTGGTTTTACCTCCATGGGGAGGATTGTTTCACTGGGATAGACAGAAGACTAGAGTGCCTTGGGGTACCTTTTTCGATATAAAAAGCTTGAATGAGTTTGTTCCTGTCATAGAGTTCGAACAATTCTTAGAAGGTAGCAATGGTCCATAATGCTGCCTCACCGATCTATTTCAGAAAATCCTACACGAGTGATTGACAATGTGATCTACTTGCAACACTATGCCGAAGGATGGGGAACGAAGTATGAGCTCAAGTTTGAAAAGAGGGATTGCATGGATGGACAGAAGTATTATAAATATGAAAAGGACAAGCAGAAATGGTAGGAAAAAATTGCTTACTGGTGGTCATCAAGCATTTGCAGGGCCGGATGGTTCTTCTCATTCCCAGATGTATTAGCTAAGAACTTCGAATGCATTTCTATTCAAGGAGAATCGAGAACGCTGACTAACCTTATTAAAGAGTTGTACCCAAATACCACGAGTATTTTCGTGGACCGTGGGGAAACTATTTTACATGAAGATTATGGAGGCGTTGACTACTGGAAGGCTAGAAGAAGCATGCGTTATGCAGAAAACTTGGTGAATGAAGCCGCTAAGTTCAGGTACTGAGTGACTGCACACTTCTATAACCATGATTTCTTTAGAAAGGAGTATCTCGATTCAGAAGACTCAGCTGATAGAACTATCTTGCCCGAGTCCTGGATTCAAGAATCCGCTAGGCGCGATGCTATAGGAGGTCCCTACATCTGTGCTCACTGGAGAAGGAGAGATTTTGTTCGAGCGCATGGCAAGAATTTGCCTTCCATTAAAGGAACTTCGAAAATAGTGAGTACATCGTCTTGTTGAGATTCAAAATCAGAGGGCTTTCAGTTGAATGAGTTGGCCAAGAAGCATAAGGTGGGAAAGGTGTTCTTAGCTACTGATGCTGAACCACATGAGTTAGAAGAGCTCAAGAAGACGATGAACGTAGAAACACTAACTTATAAGAATCTAGATTTATCGGATGGAGAGATAGCAGTAGTTGACCAGGTTAGCTAGACATGTCGTTGCATTAGAAAATTTGGTTTCTCAGATTATTTGTTCTCACGCTCGTTACTTCACCGGAAGTCATGTGTCTACTTTCTCATACAGAATTCAAGAAGACAGAGAGATTCTGGGATTCAAGCCGGAAACAACTTTCAATAGAATGTGTGGTGATAAGGAGAAAGACTGTGAACAGCCTTCAAAATGGAAGATAACTCACTAGTACAGTCTCACAATTTGAAAATTCAAAAGTCTCATACGGTTTTAAGCATAATGCCTTTCGGAAGTTATAAAGTTACAAGTATCAAGCAATATTTCAAAAATAAAACGTTCGAATCATAAAGTACTTCCGCTCCATTCCTTTGTTCTTATCAGACCAGGTTTATCAGTTGATGTGTCATTATATGTGGACGAAAGCGAAATATGCCCGTCGGCTAAATTTGAATTCGTCAGACGCTAGTTTTCGCGCCTTCACCTAGATTATTGAGAAGCTGAAGTCTTCATTAAAGCTGAATGTTTGCAGCAATTGGGAATTTTGATGCAACGACCATTAACAGATGAGGAACGTGCTAGAATTGCTCGATCAAAAGCTGAGGCTTTGAAAAGAGCTGCCGCTAGAAAAGCACGACAAGCTGAAACTGCAGGAGTTTCTAAGAGTGTCAGTTTTCCAGAAAACGACACTCTCTATGAAGATGTTGTAGGTGCCGGTTAGTTCTCTCTCTTCATCTTCCTATTCAACTGCAAGCTCCGCTCAACAAACTAAACAGGTGTTGCAAACTGAAAAGAAACTCCTTCACTCAGAGTTTTTAGAGTACAAGTTTACAAGGAGTGAAAAGACCAACAAGTGATACTTACAATTCATTTAAGGGTAATAATACAAGACCTAGTGTATGTTATGGGGCAAACCTTTGTATAAGCAGAAACTGTTTAAGGGACAACCAATTCTCAGTTCGTTAGCACAGAATGCTCCCCATCCATCTTTGCCTGTTAAATCTGTGTTTCCTAAAGAACCTGCTATAGCACCTCTTTTCTTAGCAACTAAAACAAACGTGACTGTGACATTCAGAGTGTTCACCGCGGAGAGATTCAAGGTTTTCATGTTTCGAGACTAAGAGAAGCTTAAACCGTTCTTAAGGTCCATACTTATCCATATCATGCCTCCGTGACGAATACTATCAAAAACTTACCATACGAGAGCCGATCTTATGAAGAGAGAGATAAGCTCTGGAGTGTTAAGTTCTGTGAAATGAGAAACTTAGAAGACGCTTTAATGGCTTTGAAAGTAAGCTCATGTATCTACAATCCTTCTAAAACTCTTCTCACAGGATGTCAATGTAACTATTGTAAATATCGCACCTGAAATTTTGAAAATGTTCCAATCACTCAAGAAAGAAACCATTCCAAGTAATTTATTTATTATGATCGATGCTACTTTGGCCAAAGTCTTGTTCCCCTATCAGAGAGAAGGAGTAGCGTAAGCCTTACCTTCCTAATGAAACCATACGATTCGTTTAAGGTTCGCACTCGAAAGAAAAGGACGTGCGATCATTGCTGATGAAATGGGTCTGGGAAAGTCTCTTCAGGCTATAACCATTGCTAGATATTATAGGTTAGTCTTGTAGCTTTCCTAATCTATGTCTATCATTCAGATCCGAATGGCCTCTTGTCATAGTTTGTCCGTCTTCAGTGAAGTATGCATGGAAAACAGTGAGTGATCACTTCCTGAAGCAACTATAGATTTGAATTTCAGCAATTCAACACGTTCTTACCGGTAATCTCTCGTATTTCTGTCATTGAGAAAGGTTCAGATCCTCTTCCTGATGTCAGAACATCCAATACAGTTGAGTTTCTGTTGCCTTCTCACCTAATTAGAAAGTGTTCATCTACAGGTTGTAATAATATCGTACGATCAGATGGTTTTAAAACATAAAGAGCTCGCTAGGTTGGCATATCAAGTTCTCATTCTGGTTTGTCAGCTTCAGTACCCAGTAACGTTAATTTCCTCCATTATTCAGGATGAATGTCATTTGTTGAAGGATTCAAAAGCTAAACGAACTCAGGTTGCCACGGACTTAGCAGTATGATCTACCTAGAGTCTTGTTGTTGAACTCACGTTTCATTCAGAAAATCGCTAACCGTGTCATAATGCTGTCAGGAACGCCAGCTCTTTCCCGACCCGCAGAGCTGTTTTCTCAAGTGAGGATCATCAATCCTTCTTTGTTCCCAAACTACCAAGTAAGAGACATTTCGGAAGATCTCTTCTAGTTTCAACTTTCAGCAATTTGCCATTCGATACTGTGATGGCAAACAAGGGAGGTTTTGTTTTGAAGTATGAGAGTCTCTGTGAATTCTGTAGTCGTTAACTGTTTTTAGGCTAAAGGCTGTACTAACAGTGAAGAGTTAGCAGCTATACTCATGCACCGTGTGATGATCAGAAGGTTGAAGAACGATGTACTCAAAGACTTGCCAGATAAACGTCGAGAGGTCTGACTCTTCACAACCTTCCCATTGTAGTCATGCTAACGTTTAAGGTTATTTATCTGCAAGGTGACAGCATCGATCATCGTATGGACGGTTTGATGAAAGCCAAACAAGCTTTCGAGTTTAATAACAACGCGGTTTGTTTCAATATGAAATCTGAGCGTAACAGGCTTTATAGAATCCCAAAGATAGCCACGATTCCCTTCTAGAGTACTTCAGTATGACAGGAATTGTGAAGGTAATACAGTATTGAAACTATACATGAACATTCGAGTTTAAGGCAGCTGCCGTTAGTAGCCATGTTCTTGACAGTCTCTTCTACCCGGATGCTCCTCCTAGGAAAGTATTAATATTCGCTCATCATCAAATAGTTCTTGATACGATCAGTGTAGAGGTAGAGCTATTGAGATGAGTGAGCACGTAGAGTGTTTTCCATTTTCAGGTACAAAAACGCAATTTGAAATATATTAGAATAGATGGAACTACTCAAAGTGTTCGTAGAGGAGAACTGTGTAAATCGTTCCAGGTTTTCCACAAACATGATATATCATATTAGAAATTCGTTTAAGGAAGATCCTACTGTCATGGTTGGTATCCTTTCCGTCACCTCAGCTGGTGTAGGTATCACACTCACTGCTGCAACCGTTGTCGTGTTTGCCGAGTTGCATTGGAATCCCGGAACTCTTTTACAAGTATGAAACTACTGTCTGTAGTTCAGTTCATGTTTGTGTCCTAGGCAGAAGATCGGGCTCATCGTGTTGGCCAGAAGGATTCAGTTTATGTACAATATCTGGTTGCTCGTAATACTGCTGATGATATGATTTGGGATATGATTCAGCGCAAACTGGATGTGTTAGGACAGGTGTGTGAAGTTTGTTTTTGCCATTTTAATGGTCCTATGTTTAAGGTCAATTTGTCGAGTGAAACATTCCGAGATGCTGAACGAAAGCATCTGGCCTTTGATAAATTCCCCAAACCTGATATAAGCGATTACTTTTTAGAACCTAAACGCAAAAAAACCGATGAGCAAGATGAGGATGCTGATGATTGGTCTTGATATAATGATTTTCCTATTTGAAATTTTTTTTTGCTTTTTTACAGGAAATAAAAATTGTACAAGAATAACGATTTCGTACGGAAGAAGGGTTGTTGTTCGGGGAACATCAACAGATTTTCTTAACGAGCATCACCTGCGTCTAATACATTGAAGAAAGACTGCATGGAATCGTGAGTTCAGATGCATATTGGGCCAATACCATAAAATAGACTGATGGCCAATTATGAGAATAAAAAGGAGGAGCAGTTTCAAGTGTGCGAGTAAGAAGCGGACCCCTGCTGCTAGCGTGTCCTGGAATGAAATGAGGCCGGTACGAAAATTTCTTGATTTTACAACTTGTTTTGCTCCGCAGCGCTCTACCTATAAGCGGCTGATTGTCTCAGTTTTTCAAGAAAATATTATTATTTTAGTAGGTGATGCAATTTTAATGAGCTTTGCTATTCCTTTATAGCCCAGATGTTGCGTGTGTTGCATTTCTTAGTACTGATCTAGCGCTGATACTGTAGCTTCTTCTGCGTTCACGATATGATTTGTTTTCGAAAAGTACGCCCATCTCATAATCCGTATCCATCCCTTCTCTCCTGTTCTGAACTTGCATCGACGTTCTCACTTGTTGAGTGCTTCCCAAATTGTATATATGGAGTTGAAAACTCACCTTGCTTTCCATTTTTGACCATGATCGCGATCTAGCTCGCCAAGTATAATCATCTAGTTTAACCCTGGCGCCTGTATGTCGTGGCCCTGGATTATACGTTCTTTTTTTTGGCGAGCTGAAAAAAAGTATTGCCGGAAAATTAACCTGTGGTCGAAGTGTATGGCATTTTCAGTTCCTCGAACCAGCTTACTAATTACAATTGCTTCTCTCTCAGTAATTAGAAACTTATTAGAAAGCATTGAGCCAAATGAATTAGTTTTTTTCTGTAAATCCATCTCTTCTCAACGTTGAAATCCGGAAGAAATGGTGATGCTTTCACTGCAGGACGTTCAGTAGTCATTTTAGCAGTAAGCCATTTGAGAAATCACATAAAACGCGCCATTTGCGCATCCAATTTATAGTCATCAGCCATATCTAGCTGCATTCTTAGCTGATTATGTGTCTTCGTTGTCCTTCTGCCTCCAGAATTTCAGTATCTTTAGCTTTTTGTTCATCTCGTTGAATTCTTCTCCTGCTCTTGGAAGGGTTCCAGTTGTTCCCCCTTAAGGCATATAAGACTAAGGCAGATGGAGATTCTTTTTTGGATAGCCAAACTGTCGTTGATTCCATTGGGGATTTTTTATTCTCTAAGATTACGGTAGATCTTGATATTGAGGTGACAGACAGAGTATATCTATACTAAACTTTACCCAATCGATTGTTTGCATCACATTGAACTAAAACTAAATCTGTATCTTGTAATATAACTGGAGGGGAAAAAGCTATTAGAGTTCCGTGTCCGTCACTAGGAAATGAGTATTATGGTCATAAAAGGAACCAACAAAGCAACGACTTGCATGTCTGTTTCTCTTCTCTTTTTGTGCTTTTTTTCGTACTCTAACTCTTTCATTCGAATTTTTCGTCCATAATGCCTAGTAAGTAAGAGGATTACGGTAATTTCAAACAACAATAGCTTGTAGAAATTAACAGATTGGTTTAGCTTATTGCATTTTTGCTCTTTAAGCTATACCTAATGCTATATGCTACGTGAAGAAAGCTGATATAACCAATATCTTCATAACCAATTGATAACAGAAAGTTGTGTGGAACACACAGAACGGTTGCATTCTCAAGTTAGAATCTCTCATTCTCAACTCATTTCACTCATGTGAAAGAGAGTTTTGATTGGATTCAATTGTACTTTCCTCCTCCCCCCCTCCCTTGTTGAAGTAATTTCTTCTTGATCGTCTTAAAAAAATCCCATAAAAGTCTTATTTAAAATGCGGGCGCCAAAATTTGAAGTGATTCTTTTGTTTCGTTTCAATGTACTAGGTGCATAGCAAATTTATAAAATATTCTCTCATTTGGTTAGCTTTAAGTTGTATTTCCATTGTATCTGCTGTGCTCTGCTGAAAATCTGAATGTACGGTATTCATCTTTATTGAACATAACTGCAGTAGAAGTTGAAAGCATGAATTCTGATTTTGAATCAAAGAAGTCGCAATGATGAGATTAACTGAAGCTGTTATAATATGGCCATGCAATGAAGAGATCATTAAATAAGTTAGTCGTGACCAGATTCACAAGTGAGCTAGTGTTGAGTTATTGGGTAAGGGATGGAGGAGATAAAGATACATCGGAAGCAATTATCATTTCCTATCATTTGTCATGAAAGATGTAGCCATATGAGGTTATGAACTGCTTGATGCTGAATCATTCGTTGTACTATCGCATCCTTTATTTTCTTTTTTCATTTTCATCCGACGATTTTGGAACCATATCTTGATTTGACGTTCGGACAGGCCAAGTGTTCGATTGAGCTCAATTCGTCGCCTATCGTATATATATGTTGTTTACAAACGAGAATACTATATAGATATATCTATGTGAAGCATACCTTCTTGTCAAATATTTATTATAATGGAATTCCTTTTCCAATTCCAAAGTTTGATGACGCGTATACGTCTGTCGACCGCGCTTCTTACACATTTCAGCCACTAAAATGGGGGGCACACAGTGTTTGGTTAGATGTGTTGAAGTTGAGCAGAGTTGTAAGCAAAAAACAAGAAATATTTAAAAATACTCTTTATAGATTTTGTTGCGTTATATGAGTATAGTGACAGACAACATGATATAAGAAAACTGGGAAAATCAAGGGAAAACGAATATTTTACAGTTTTTTATGAAAAAAAGAAATGAAAAATGAAATGAAAGAGAATTATCGAATTGGTGGTGCAAGAGAATATGTTATAATTATGAGAGATTTGTCATATATATAATATATAATATATATAATTATAGTTTTAATAATTAAGGAGTGGGTGTCGGCTTTTATGGGGGCGAGCAGTGAGATAGGAGGAGGACGGGAGAAGCGCACGGGAATGTGCGCAAGGTGTGTGTATGTGTGAGTAGTGTGCGTGAATGTGTATGTGTGTGTCAGCACATGAGAGAGAGAGAGAGCAGCCCTAATTTGGAGAAGCAAAAAACATATATATGTATAGATATTATATATATATATATATATAACAGTGTTCAATATTAACGTTTATTATTTTTTGAGGGAAGAACGTAATCAGATGATTCGAAATATGAGAGACCCGACTGTCGAATGACCATTAATAGAGGAAAGGAAGGCGAACAAACGGATGTCCTACGACTTAACAATTGTAAATTTCTATTTTTAATAGGAAAATTATATTATATGAATATGATTAAGGAACTTATGCTAACTAGTTGTGCGAAGAAAAAAAAATAAGAAAGAATTGTATATCAATACCTATGGGGGGAGAAGTGTTGAAAAGGATTTTTGAACGGAAAAGGAGACTGATGCAGTAACAATGTCAAGAAGGAGGATTACGGTATCTGGAAAAAAGGTACGAACCGGGATATAGCTTTCAACAGCTTAGATTATGTCTTTTTACTGGACTGCGTGCGAGAGGAAGATAGAGAGAGAGAGAGATGAATGAATGATTTACATTGTGTGGGTGATTTGAGAAGGTTTTGGACTCTTAAGCTTGATTGATCAGTTAATTATGCTGCTTTAAGTTATGGTAGAGAAGATTGCAAATGCCCAAGTAAGAGAAAGATTCGAAATTAGTGTCGAATGGAATCATTGGGTTGGATTGGGAAGATCATGACTAGAATGGAATCGTTGTAGCTATTGATTATGATAGGATGATGATGATGGCTTAGTCAATGGTAGCCGTGATGTTAAGTTCTACAGAGTTCCTAGGAAGCGATTCAGATAGTAATCACCACTTCATCATCATCGGAACACGTAAATATTTATGGCGGACAATAATATGTGTGTTGGTTTTGTGGCTGACCAGGAGCTTGTTGGCCTTGTCCCTGTAGGCCCAACATGCTCGCTGTGGGATGGGGTAAACCAGGCCATACTGCGGAAGGTGGGGGTGCTGAACTAGCTACAACAGAAGATTCTAACCATTTTTTGTGTGTGCTGTCATCATCTACAAGCATTCCTGATTGTGATCCGGGAGCCGAACCACCACCGGAATTCTTAGATGGTGGGTTAGGAGCCAATAAAGGGGTTGAGTGACTATCTACATGATCATCGATCCGTTGCTTCTCTTTCTTGGCTTTCATTCTTCTATTTTGAAACCAAATTTTGATTTGTCGATCCGTTAAGTTAGTTTGAAGACGTAGCTCCTCTCGCTGTTTCTTCGACACATAACTTGACTGCTGGAACTTCTGCTCTAACACTGACGTCTGGTATCGCTGATAGGTTTGTCGACCCTTCTTCGAAGCCGCTGCAAACAAACACACGTGAGTATAGGGTAGTTTTTACTTTTTTTTTTAATTCAAAAAAAACATGAAAAAAAAAGTTAAAGATGGTTCCTGGGCTAGCGACTCGCGTGTGTTTGCCTGTCGCGGAATCGCCAGACAATGGAAGGGCGATCACACACGAGCACAAGCATCAGAAGCACATCAGTCAAATTAAAAATTAAGAAGAATAAAAAGCTGAATGGAAGAGAATGAAACTCATCAAAGATGCGCATATCATTTGATTTATGAGAATACAGCGTTTTCTCATGTTAAATCATTTGTGCAATTATAATACACATCATCTGTTTCTATCAAAAAATTTTGGATTCTAACTCAGCACGACTCCAACAGGCGGCTTTATTTGCAGCTCTCTTGGTATTTACCGAGATACCAAGGCCATCTAAGGCTGAAAGTAGATAGCAGCTTTAGTTTTCAATTCTCATCAGTCTAGTAAGAGGCAGAGAGCATTGCACTTCCCCATTTCGTCTATCTATTTCTGGTCGTCCGGCTACTTTAAAGCCTTTCATACCCATTTTAGTGCAGATGTTCAAAAATGCTAATAAGAGAAATATAAGTAGAAGAGAAGATGTATCGATAGGCAAAAAGCTCTAGACGACCGAAGAGACTGAAGACGTTAGCCTTTCTAATCTCTTGCAGACGTCGACGCCCTCTTCATCACTAAGAAGACGAGATCGACGTCCAATAGCTACGAATCACATCCGTCGGAAGTGAAGAAACAGACACTGTGAAAATACATGAGCCATTTGGAGATCTTCAATGTTAGTCTCTGCCAAGTTGGAGCCATAAATCAAAGTTTGAAAGAGTGCCATTTAAGATATTTGCTCACAAAGGACAACATGCAGTCGACATCCACAACTCTTTTGACAAAAGTTTTGAGGAAAAATTTTATTTTTCGTTTCTAACCGAGAGTATGTTCAGATTCTGAAAAATGACAAGGAACCGCTCTCTGCGCCAGTATGGTTAAGAATGAAATGATAGTGGAGTGGCATCGCCCACGTGGGTTTCGCGTGAATTCACGTAAAAAACCTGTCATTCAAATTTCAATTTGAATTAAACCTATCGTTCTATCATTGTCTAAGAAGAAAGAAGTAGGAGGTTGAGTTGCATGAAATCGCATATATGGCCATGATAAAACAAGTTTCTTATGCAAATCAGGTAATTGTAGTGGCCGGCAAACGAGGGCAGTATGGGGCTTTGACTGCGAAGGGAAAGAGATAGAGAGAGAAAGAACACGGTGGGAAGGATAGGAATGAAGCGGAAATAAAGAAAGAGAATCTGCATTGTAAAGAAATTTCTTAAAAGAAGGAAGGAGATGCACGGAGCTTCAAAAGATGTTGGAAAGAATGAATTGGAATGGAGAAAGAGTATTTTTTTTTCGTAAAATTTGTTGTATTACTTTATCAGTTGGAAAGACGTTTGAAAGACTTACCGTAATTGGGCCAGTGTGGAGTTGCGTAGCATTGTGTTGGCCAAGGAGGAAATGCTGCAGGGGCTAAAGCTGGTTGACCAAATTGCTGGTAGTAATTTGGCCAACCAGCATATCCGGGCATATAGGCTGCGGCTCCAGCTGTAACGGAGGTATATAAGATTCGAATAGATGTTTCCGAGAGAAAAGAAGAAAGTCAAAGAGTTTTGAACTATTCAATGTTTTTTTTGCTGTCTTTTCGTCAGTTTCCGACTGCTGATTGACTTGAAATTCAACGAGCAGCCGACAAAAGACACATAACATATGCTAGGATGAGATTACGGTAGTCAGGGACATAGAACCTATCTAATCACCTAATAGCATATAGATTTTTGCAATTTATATGAAATTAGCATGTAACTGAATGTTAGTTGGTTGTAGCTTACCTGAGTATAAAGCATCAGTTGATGGAGCGACTGAATGATCAGAATCATCCTTTCCAACACCTTGAGTCATGGCAGCCAACCGCTGAAAACGATAATGCTATACACAATGACACGGCTTGCAACTTGAAGGAACATCGAAGTTGATACTTTTAATTTGGAGGTTGATCGTCAAACATAAATTGTGTTCTCACAATATGAACAAGACACCCTATGCAGTAGCTAACCTATAATTTGATCTCGTTCCTCGCTTCCAAGAACTAAGGCCTTTTCAAAGTATAAAAAGAGAATGAAAACGAAATGAAAACTCGGTCTGAAGATGCAGGTGCGACGACTATGTCATCCTCATCTTTCTCACAATACACTATGCTATTGCTTATTACTAGTAATAACTTAGAGGGATAGCTAAACTCCAAATGGATGCTCGTTAGAAGCGCCGGAAAAGTTGACGACCGCTTAGCAAGTTTATTGCTCAATTCTCGTTTTGGAGTTTGTGAGTTAAATGAGCTTAAAGCTGATAAATCAGAAGTGGAATGAGGAGTTAAGGTTGAAGCAATGAGGTCGATTGATTGAATCCATCATCAAGCTCTTCCGTTGAGGCATTTTTGAATGTTGTAGAGAATATGATGAACTTCTTCTTACCTGTAGATGATCGTTGGCTTCCGGTTGGCTACTGGAAGCCGAAAAGTCGAAAGAAAGTGTGGCTGCCGTTGTGGCTGTTGGATTCATTGTGAAAAAGTCTTCTAAGGCCACTGGCTACCGTAGTATCTGGTGGGCGTGGCCAATCGTAATGATTGGCTTGTGAGAGCGATGGTGTGTTGTGAGTGGCTGGTGTTCTTTACTCAGCTTGAATGGGTAATATTTGAAGTAAATTATGAATTTAAATCCTTATATAGATGGATAATTGATTGGAGGAATATTAGAAGTAGGAAAGGCTAGCTGAGGCCTTTACAGGCGGAGGAGAAGGTTGCCGGCAGCGACTGAAATAATGAAATTAGTCAAAGGTTTATGAGTTAGACGAGAGAATCAAGAGAGACAATTCATGTTTTTTATGAGAGAAGTTGAATATGCAAATTAGGTGATAGATAGGGAAGTAATGAGGGAAAAAAAGATAGTTTAAAATTCTAGGAAGGAAGCGGGTTGGAGTTCGTGAACACATGATACTTCCGCTTAGAGTGATCAAGATGAGCTTTCCTTAGAAGATAAGAGGGAGACAAGTTAATTGGATGAGGAAGCTTGTATGAAGTGTCGAATAGATAAAAGACGTTCAGCTTTGAAGGTGTGTATGAGTAGCTTCATGTCACAAAAGAAAAACAAATAGATAGTATACGTGTGTTTCTGTGTGTGTGTGAGTGTGGGTATCGATGTAAGAATGAATGGAGGAGATTCTGAATGTAGAACCAGCGTTATCAAGTATTGGAAATGTATGAAATGGGGGAAGTGTATGTAAGAAGCTCGCAGCAAACGAACAGCCAATGTTAAGGTTGAAAAGATAATCAAGTGAGTATGTTGATGACCTTAGTTGAAGAATTATCGTCGGAGACCAAATAATGAGGATGAAAAAAAAAAGAAAATTTCATGTCTGGGAAAGTCATCTCGTACGGTAGACAGATCGACGCCGATCTATATGTTGAGATGTACTCATTGAGTTCAGAAGAGTGGGGTGGGGGGGGGTGAAGAGATGATGTGTGTCTTGATGGAAGAGACTTCCATGAGATGTGGGATGACGGAGGTGGTGAAGAAGCTATAGCTTCAATTAGTCAAAAATAATTTTTATGAAATTGTGGTATTTTGACTATAAATCATGGGAAAGATGGGGTATAAGCTAGTGAAATGGACCATTCGTCGGCACATTAGGAGTTTAAGGGGACATAAGATGGAGTGGAAGAGACTGGATGAGACATCATCTTCATCACCATTTTCATGTTCATTATTAGGTCAGAACTTTAATGACGTGGTTTATTATTGTTTTTAAATGATTATCTATCAAGATACGTTATACGGAGAGGAGAAGAAGGAAAAGCCTGGAATTGGTATTGAAATGACTTTCTGTATGGAGCATTTTAAGCCGGAAAAGAGGGACGGACAAGGACTCTGCAGTCAAGTGAGTAAAATAGAAGGCTGGAAAGGAGGCAGATAAAAAGAGAAATGAAGAAAAAGAGAGGGAGATATGAGAAGAGAGGGTTGGAAACAGGGCTAGAAAGACGGCGTAGGGGCGGAGCTCTCAAACCACACGGGCTGCAGCTGCTGACTGACTGGTTGAGGCGCTTCTGGGTTCGAGGACCCGACTATAGCTTGTAGCACTGAGTACGAATGACTTAGGTAATGATAATTGAACGAGATACTAGAAGAGAGTTGAAAGTGTGTATCACATTCAAACTTATCCAGCATGAACTAGTAGTACGAGCTAGAGAGTCAGAAGTGAAAGAAAGAGGAAGTATCAGAGAGAGGAAGCTCGTTACCGTAAACTTAGAATGTCGCGCTTCTAGCTTATCCTTTCATCTTGCCGATTGCAGCTACTTATCGACAGCATAAGGCTGATGAGGTGACTGTAAAACTACTAATGCATCAGACTCAGAGATGTCATAGAAGTATTGAGCTTGTACATTGGTGTTCAATGGCATGAACTATTAGTTAAAAAGTAATTTTGAGAGGTTAAATGGGTGGGAAGGAGAAAAGAGAATGGCAGTTAAGAATTGGAATCTGGACTTCTGAAAACACAGGAAATACGACCTTTATCGTTCCAAGGTTACTTCAGAGGTGAAGTAGTACGACCTCAGTTGAGAGCAAGATTCGCCAGTTCCTCATGCTACTGATATTCAAAATGGCTCTTGCCAGCTATCTTGTTTGTAAATTTGAATGAAATTCAAATTTGGGCTGTTAACCAAACGAAGCAGTTCAAACGTTCGGCAAAGATCAAAGGACAGGTTCAAACCTGCGGGTCTTCAGATGTCGTGTGTCAGTTCTTAATCAGTTGATATATGGTATATGCTATATACAAGAATTCTGCACAGAAACTTTTTAGAGATGGTGGATGAAAAGAAGTTTTCGGGCTAAGTTTCGAAATGAGGAAGAAGAATATGGTCGTCACTGACAACGCAGAGAAAATGAGCCAAGTGTTAGTTTGAAGATGAACGTCGAACACATCATCGCCTGGATGTAGTAGTAATGAGGTAGGCGCTGGAGATAAAAGGCGGCCGCTTGTTGTCGACACATTATAAGTTATCTAAATTGGATCAAAAATGACAGTCAAAGAGCAGTTTATCGACAGCCTTCTACTGAATTAAGTAAAGCATTGACGAATACTTTGGCTGTTCAAAATGATCGACAGTTCGCACTTTGAAAATTGGGCTTGAACGATGCAAGGGTTAGAGCTCATTCCAGAAATTCAAACTTAACGACATACCCATAACAGGATGAGAAGAGTGTGGGTAGGGGCAAAAACGTTTCGTTGATTCCCGTAGCGAATTGAATTGCTGATTCATCTCAGACACCCAAATGAAGGTTTTGTAGTCGTCATTCTGCCTTTTTCGTCCCGATTCACTTGGCTTGTGTCAGGTTTTGTCTTCTCTCCATCTCTCTCTCCCTATACGAATTTCAATCCTTCTGTACATATATGAATACGGTAAACCTATGTGTGTGAAATGACCGTATCTAGAGTATGCAGAGAAAGGGGACGAGAGGAAGAAAAGCAAAAGTGTTCTGACTAACATTGATGCTGACGTCAACGATCTGGTTTTGATACGAATTTGTGTACTCTTCATCAATGAGTTGTGGGGGAAAAAAAAAGATGGAAATAGCTCAAACAGAGGATAGTTCCGTGAACCCTTCGTTCAATTGGCAACATCATCAGATGAAGGATGGGGGAAACAAAAAATATTTTTATGATAGTGCCTACGGTAGGTTAGCAATAGAGCACGCTAGGACTGAGACGAGAGAGAGTTATGAATATGTAAGACAGGGAATAAAAAAATTGGGTTAAAACATGGTTTCTATATGTACTGTTCCGTATAATTGGATCTGAAAAAAAAGCATAAAACAGTCAACCATCCTGGCGCCATATAAGGTATAAGGATTGAGATTGGAGGTGAATTAGCATAAAGAGTAAAGCTTGTAAGAGATAGAGTGAGAGAGAGAGAGAGAGATGAAGTTGAAGTAAAGAGGAAAAGTGTTTGAATTTCATACAATGTGTGAATATAGAGATAGAGCATCTGCTTCTAATCTTATGTGAAATAGATGAAAACTGCTTAAACGTCTAGAATGGCGTTTGAAATAGAAAAGAGGCAACGATGAAGATGAGGATGAGGATGAAAAAACCTTTTTTTTCTATGATAATTGACAGTGATTATGATTGGCGGGAAATGGGTATGAAGGCATAGGAAGAGATCTCTCTCACATCCACATATGGAATAATGAGGATGACTAATAATGAGAAGATGAGCTTAGTGCATGAAAAAAGTACATTGAGATGAGACGGGCGTTCTCTTTGAATTGCTACGAACACTCTTTCTCAACGTATCTCGTCTATTGCAACTGTATAATGCTGATGGTGGTATATAAGCTAGTTGAACAGTAGAAGCTTGTGTCGGCAAGATGAAAGATAAAGTTTGGCAGGTTTTTGAGATTGAACTCTCACCTGGAAAAGCAATAAAGAAAGATATACGATTAGGAACAGTTTGTTAACAGAATGTTTTCACTCTCTTCCTATCTATATCCTTTCGCTTCATCTCTGTCTGTCACTCTTACATACTTCTTCTTCCAAACTGAATATCATAGATAGAATACAGTAGATCTTATATATTCAGAATCTCCAGATGCTTATATATGTCTCTCTCTCTCTCTCTACACCTCTCCCTCTCTACCTCTCTCCCTCTCTACCTCTCTCCCTCTCTCTATGAATGTATGTTAATACACCTGTGAACTTTACGCATAACTGTCATCATCATCGGATGTGCAATGTTCAATCTGTGTATAAATCAAATTAGTTTTTTTCCTTAATTTTTATGACAATTTTGACCACATGTACACATGATGAATACAACACGTTAAACTCATAATTGTCTTTGGTTAACCAAACAATCCATATGGAATTCTCTTTTTCATTTCCAACAAGGAACGGTCTGAAGTTAATCTAAGAGAAGGATGGAGAGAGGAACACTGAGACAGACAGAGAGAGAGAGAGAGAAGGTAGATGGAATGGGAATAAGCAAGATGGTCCATTTGTCTTTTCTGGGTGGGCTTCTCTACTCTGAACGAAATGAGGAAAAAAGGAGAAAAAAAACATTTTTTTTCTCTCTTCTCTCTTCATCGACTCTTTTTCGTTGTTCAACTTCAGATGAATTGAATCATCTTATGCTTGCGATCGTCATCTTACTGTTACCTTCAGCAAATGTTTTGATCGACTGCAAGTGAGAGGCTAGGCTTGAGAGATAAATGATTTAGCTGAGGCTGTATCAGAAAGTTAATTTTCTAAGAAAATGAAATTGCTCGAACCAGCTGACCAATGTATCATCTACATGTTTTATGCCTTTTCTCCAATCTACTAGCTGATATGTTATTAACGATTAAGGATGAGAAAGCTTTCTTCAATAGCCATTGTGCTCTGTTGGTTCATAAAATAGTTTAATGACGTTATAAATCGTGGAAAACAGGTAAATGGCTCATTATCTAGCTTGGAATTCATTGTTTGTACGTGTAAATGAGACATATACACATCCGATTAAGATTGA